TTTCTCCGGCTGTTTGTAATTATGAATTCTCCTTGCTGTGTGGATTGAGGAGTCTTTTCTGCTTTGCTTGGAGATGGTAATAAATAGGGAGAAAGTGAGCTGATAGGGACTCATCCAAGAAGAAAAGCCAACTGTCATCTCAGCGGAGTGTTTCCTGTGGTGAAATGAGTTGGTCATTTGGGCCTCGATCCAAGAAAGCTCTTAAGCACATGTTTGATTTAATCATGTTTTTAGTCTCGCTGATCTCTTTAGAAGCTGAAGTTTAGCATATGCCTGAGTGCCTTGGTGGATCACAACCTGAGAAAGACAAGTGGAACACCACCAGTTTGGGATGGTCTTGTTTCTCCTCCCTCTCAACACAGAAGCTGGGCTGGAACCCTTAGGTGACCCTGTACTGGTATCTCCCCGGCTTCCTGACATGCCCTTTATCTGCTCATTTTTTGATGGGTCTCCTCCCCCTCCTTCATTATTCTGTTGAATCTCTATCAACTGTAACTGCGGAGAGGTGGAACCAAGTGTAGGAGAAATCTGAGCTGGGATTTTTCATCCTTTTAAAATGTGGTAGCCTAGAAAACATGTCAGGTATTTTGTTAACTGCATGCCAGCACTGAGGAGGCAGTCAGTGCCTGAGCCACCGGGGTCTGGAGGAGCGCCTCGGAGAGAGCTTGAGCCTTAACCAGGCTCTGCCATGATCTCCACACTGAAAAACAGAAGTAGCCCTTGAATAGATGCGCTAATTTTGGCAGACTCACCACAGGAACAAGATAGAAAAGTACCAGAACCTGCATTTTAGCAACGCATCTCGTTGTTAAGGATTTTACAGCTACCAAGAGCCTCTCTGCGCTTCAAACGCATTTTCTGTGCGCGGATGGGTCTTAGCCACGCCATCACCTTGTTCGCCTAGCTAGAGACGTGAAACCTGGTGTAACCGCAGCTGTAACGCCTGCTGCTTCTTGCCTTTATCAGCTGTGTGGCTTCAGTGTTTATTGTTTCCTTCCCTTCTGCTCCCATGAAATCTCAGCCACGATTTCCCGAGTGCCTGGGCCCGGAGGCTGCAGCCACCAGAGGGAACTCTGGCAGTCGCTGCCTGCTCTTGAGCACAATGCATTCCTCCCTTCATACAACCCAAATTCCCCGAGCATCAGATGTGACCTGTATTTTGCTTATTCAGACTGGGACAGAAGAGGAAGAACTTTCCCACGGCTGGGGTGCACAGACAGCTCACCTATCGCACTCAGCGACCAGAACGGGTGGGCTTGTGCTCAGAAGCATCAAAAGCGCCAGCATTTGGCATTGATTGCTCCCTGTTTCCATCAAATCCAGTCCTGCAGTGTCAGGTTAAGGACTCTTTCTGCACGGAGTCCTCTGATGTATGAGCGTTGATGTGAACTTGGAAGAAATCCAGCCGTCACAGTGGGGAATCCCAGGTTGGCAGAAGAAGGGCTGTGACTCTCATGCCCGGGCACAGGGACAGCACAGCATGCCCTGAGGTTTGGGGCATCAGGAGAGAAAAGGCTCAGAGCACTGGGGTTTATGGTCTGATGGACAGGAGTTGTGGACACAAAGAGCTGTGTGGCCTGCGGATGGGCTGGATTTGGAGGTCTGTTCATGATCAAAATCTGCTTTTTCTCTCCTAGGCAGCTGGATGAAGAGGGCTGGGCAGAGGTCAGGAAGCAGCTCCGGGAGTTCGCACACACCACCCAGGTAGAGGTCTGGAACAGCCCATCTGAATAAAAGTTTAGCCCTTACCCACACGTCAAAGATGTGCTGCCCTGTGGGCCACACGCTGCTCCAAGCTGGAGCGCAGTGGCTTCCCCCAGAGCCTTCCTGTGGCTTAGACCTCAGCCCACAGAGATCCCCGGTCAGTGATGTACTGAGGCTGTGCTTTCCCTGCTCTCACAGCTGCTCCTTGATGGACTGTATTGCTTCCTCCTTTGTTCCAGCACAAGCATTTAGGCATCTGCATAAACTGGGTCTGTATTCACCCCGGTTCAAGCCTAGTCTGAATCTGAATCAGCTTCCCAGTCTGGTTCATCCCAAGGATATTTGTGCTGTACTCAGGAATGGGGTGTCCCAGAGCTCTCTCCATCCCCACACTGCTCTACAGCACCCATCAAACTGTACTGATGCTCGCTGGGAGCGGGGTTTGCTGCCAGCGGTGATGGGCAGCAGTGGAAAGAAGGGTTGGTGCTGGGATCCCTGACACGGGGAAAAGGGCTTTGGAAACCAAGCAGTTTGGAAATGGTTGGACTTTATCTTAAAGGTCTTTTCCAGCTTAAAAGATTCCATGATTCCAAGCAGAGGTTCAGTTTTCTGCGGTAAACAAGGCTATAGATGTGCTACCAGCCTGCCTCCACGCTGTGCCTTCCTCTGTCCCCTGCGACCTGAGGAAGTGCTCTGTCCTTCTCTAGTCACGTAAAGCTACACACCCAAAGTGTGTCTCTTTGCAGCCAAAAGAAGGGAGATGCTGTGGCTGAGTTCTGGAGTGCTGCACTGGGAGCAGGTCCTGCTTCTGGCTCTGCTGAGTGTCCCAGGGGTGAGCTTGGTCAAGCACCTCAGATCCTCCTGGTGACACAGGGACTGTGCAGTTAACTTGGGCAAGATGATCATGTACTGCCCAGAGACACTGTGCAAAACCACAAATGTCTTTTTATATAAGAGAAATTAATCTGCACCAAACTACCAGTGGACCGGCGCGAAAGCTCTGTATCCCAGTGCCACATCTACCGACCGCTCTACCAGGCATCTGTGAAGGTTCTGGGGGAGTTGATGGCTTGGCAGCAAGGGTTGCTGCCTGTGTGGGGTGTCCCTGGCCCCCACGCCTGCGCCCTGGCCAGGGCAGGCTGCCTGGCCGATGCCCTGGAGTGGCAGTGCCTGCAGAAAGCTGCGCTATCGTCACCAGACTCCTTTCCCCGAGCACATCAGTTGCTTCTATAGTTTAAGTGAACTGATAGGGTAGTGCTGGAGCTGAGTGATGGGGATGTGGTTGGTCTCGCCTGGCAGAGGAACTGAGCAACTTCACTCCCATCTTGCAGAGTTGGCTGTTTTCTCCATGTTTCTTTGCCCCTCCAGGAGGATTTGGAGCAGGAGAGAAGCCAGCTGCTGACACGGGCCATTGTGGCAGAAGAGCAGGTGTCGGAGCTGCAGGAATACATAGATAAGCATCTTGCAAGGTGAGATGGTAGCCTCCCCCTTCACGGGTTCTCTGCGTTGTGCTCCGAGTTTATGTCCCAGGCTAATTGCCGGTGACGTGGCTGTACCTGCCGGGCTGTCGGCGCTGACCTGCCTTCCTGCAGTGCTGCCGGCACATCCAGCTGTGCAGGCAGCTGCCACCATCCCTTGTTCTGCCGGGCAGGGGGGCAGCGTCTGGCCTGCTCTGCCGCACATCTCCTTCCCTGTGTGCTCACCCATCCTTTGGAGGAAAACTGAGGATTGCCTAAAATCTAAAGCCTTCCAGCAGCCCCTGAACTGTGGTCCCCTCTCCTTGGCTCATCGTGCCCTGAAGCAGGGGGAACAGACGCTCAGGCAAGGAAGGGCAAGAACAAGCAGGACGTGTCTGTCAGAGCAATGGTCCGACTGGGCCTGCCAAGGCTCCCCAGTCTCGCTTGGGTCAGACTCCCAGGCTTGTTGCTGGTACCGTTACCTGCCAGAGCCGACAAACACCTCTTCCTTGGCTGCAATTTTATATCTGCCAGGGCTCAGCTCCCAGTGTGGCTCAGTGCCTGGGCTGGCTGCTCTGAATTAACCGACACTGCGTGTCCTTAGCATGCAGTGAACGCAAGGCTAAGCGTTTCGATTTATCGCTCCCGCGTGTGAGCGACTGGCGGGGTTGTGACCACACAGGCAATGATGGTGCTGCTTCCCCACTGCAGGTACAAGCAGGAGATCCTCCGGCTGAGGAAGCTCGCAGGCAGTGAGGTGCCACGCACACTCAGTGCTGGGGTGGCCGATACTCACTCCCTGCCCAGAGCCAGAAGGACTCTCAGCCATGAACCATAGCTCTCCACCACGGCTCCAAGAAGTGTCACAAGCGTAAGAAAGAGCAGGATTTAAAAGGAAGGAGCTTTCTGTTGTGTGGGCTGGCTGGGGCAAATATCCTTTCCCAGCTGAGAGGCAGAGTGAGGGAAACCACGTGGGTGTTCCGAGTCTCAAATTAACAGTACTAAAATGGGATGAGACAACTGCATCTTGCCCGTCCTCTGATCCCTCAGCTGTAGGGAGAGTACTGTTTTTCCCCGAGCACATCATGCCTCTGGACACGGGGTCAGGTTCCCGTGCAACTCTTTACTGTGGGGCTGCAGGGAGAGGTTCCTGCTCCTGCCTCCTAGGATGCTGCCATAACATTTCTCCTGGGTCAGAACAAGACAGGAGTCCAAGGACTAACTCTGCTCCTGCCTTTGCTCCTTAGCTTCTAAGAGATAAGGCCAGGGCTGGTTCAAGCTAGACTTTGGTCCAAAAGATCAGACAAAGGGGATGAGCTGCTCTTTTAAGGTGGGGAAAACCTTTTTTTTCCTCTCTGTGTGAGTGGAAATGAGAATGTTACATAAGGTGAGCAGGGCCAAACTGATCTTTCAGCGGGTGGTGAACTGGACAAACTCCCTCCTGAGCTCCTTCAAAGGATGGCAGACCAAAGCCTGACGCTGCCCTGGCTCCAGAAGCACCCTGCAGCTCAAAGGCAAAGCCAAAGTCTCCAGGGGAAAAACTGTTCAAATGTTTATTTTGAAAAATGAACTAGAAATAAAGTAGCAAACATACAGAATGAGGCACTGCAGATTTAGCCCTTAAATCCTGTGATAACTGCAGGATTCCTAGGTCTTAATTTCCCCTCCCTTGCTTTCCCCAAACTGCCCACTCTTTGGAAGGACCTCCACCTTCGAAGTCCCCAGGAAGAAGCCTGGCCAAGCATCCCTCTTGCTGCTGTCCTGAGCTGAGCCCAAGGGCTGGAGAGGCTCTGACTCCAACCACCGTTGACCCTTAAGGCCAGGCTTAACCAGCTGCTGTTAGATCGGGCTTCCCTCTGCGCTGCTCTGTGCTGCTCGTCGCACTTCCTTCATGTCGTAGGCCCAGACTTGCTCCATCCCCTGCCCAAGGGTGCTGCTGGGGGGCCAGGAGGGGAAGGGGAAGCGTCCAGCCACCACCCGGGCTTCGTCAGGGAGTTCTGCAAGGAGCTTGGCGGCTAGGGGAGGTTTCTGGGGAGAGAGAGACAGCCAGGGCCAGGTGGCCACAGGGAAGTCACACAGTGATGGTGCCACCCAGGACACAGGGCAACTTCTTGGCATGGCTGCTGGGTCCCAAGCAGGCACCATCAACCAACGAACCTTCCAAAATGCAGGGCTGGCACTCGCCCTGCGTATGGTTGGGACTGGGGCCAAAGTGGAGTGGTGCTGAGCACGAAACCGCTCGCTCGCAGTGATGCCCACCGCTGCTGCAGGTCTCAGCACTCCACAAGACTCCCTGCTCTGCCTGACCGAGAGCGGAGCGTGGACTGTACCAGGCACTCGTGGTGACCGTGCCAGGTAGCCAGCACCACAGGGGACGCAGGGCTGGTGCTCCCAGAGCAGCACTCCCTTGGGAAGAGGGTCTCAGACAGGGACTATGCTGGAAAACGTGCTCCCATTTGTTTTTTTATTCCAGCACAAGCAACTCTGGGATTTTCTTTACCTCTGGTCTCTTACTATCTTTGACACCATCCCAGATTCTCTCTCTTTTCTAAGAAAACACTCTCTCAAGCTTGCTCAGAGAAAGTCAGGGTGCCAGAGACCAACTTACCACACTGGGGGCCAGGAACACAATCACATTGTAGCAATCAGAAAGATTCACCTTAAAAAAGAAGGAAAACGGGAATGAAAGAAGCAACGGGGAGAGGGAGAACAGTGAGGGGAACCATTTGAGAAGCCGAATGATGAAGATCACATTTGCAGGTGATCTTCTGAACCTTGGAGGAAGCAAAGATACCTCACAACGTGTGGGATGGGGATGTGTTGGTGTGAAAGCGGTGCCTCTTACAACACCTGCCTCCAGCACCACCCCAGAACCCAGTTCCCTGCCAGATTTGCTGCAGGTACCAGCCTTAGCAGCGTCTCTGTGAAGACCACCACACCTCAGACCTCAAAGCTGCCCTGAGGAGGACCGCTGCTGCCTGCCAAAGGCTGGTGTTTCCCTGGAACAGAGGATGGTTTTCCCACCTCTTGGGAGCAGCATGGGTCAGGGAAGGAGGAAGCAACCATCAGCAAAGCCTGTCTGGAGACACTAGCCCTGGCCCTGCCCTAGCTACGGCCAGTGCTGAGCACAGCTGGACCCTTGGCACACCATTACCTTCCACAGATCTTTCTTCAGGAAGGAAACCTTCCCGTGGTACCCAGCCATCCAGGCCCGGTAGTTGGAGAGCCACAGCAGCCAGGGGTTGAGCTCATAGCCAATGGCTGGTCTGAGGCCTTGCTTATAGGCCTCGACCACCTGGAGAGAGAGTTGCAACCAAAATGAATGTGGGTGTTGAGTCTGGGGGCACAACTTGGGGGGCAGAGACTGTTACCCAGTTCCACTCCCCCCTTCCTGCTGGCTCATGGGCAGGATTACCTCGGTCCTCAGCACCTTCCAGGTGCAAAGGCTTGTCTAGGTCTTTCTGCCTAGAGTGGTCAGTCCTACCCTGCTCACTGCATGTGATGTCTTCCAGGACCACCTAGGGCTGTCTAGAACATCTAGGGGTGCCTAGAACCATCTAGGACCACCTAGGGCTGTCTAGGACCACCTAGGGCTGTCTAGAACATCTAGGGGTGCCTAGAACCATCTAGGACCACCTAGGGCTGTCTAGGACCACCCAGGGCTGTCTAGGACCCTGCTTGATGCATGTGATGTCTACTAGGACCACCTAAGACCAGCTAGGGCTATCGAGGATGACCTAGGGCTGTCTTAGGACCACCTAGGACCATCTAGAACCACAGCCAGGATCAGAACAGCAGCTGGGGATGGGGAGGGATTGCTCCC